CCCCTGCCCCCCCCCCGCCCCCTGCTCCCCCCATCCCTGCTCCCCCAGCTCTGTGCTGCCCGTTCCCTGCACTGCCCCTAGACCCCAATCCCTCTGCCTCTCCCGTTCCCCGCGTCCCACCCCCCCTGCCTCCACCGCACTCTGCTACCCCCGATACCTGCATCCCTCTGGCTCTGTGCCTCCTGTTCCCCGCGCCACCCCCGTACTCTCCCACTGTTCCCTGCACCCCTCTGGCTCTGTGCTGTCCCTGCACCCTGCTCCCCCTGTGGGTCGGGAGTGAAGGGTGCTTGCCCATAGGGAGGAGCTGGACAGGGCAGGGAAAAGGCTGCTGTGACCCAGCAGTGAGTGAAAGGGGGAGTTCACTTGGAGCACCTTTGGCTTTATGGGGAAAAAAATGAAAATGCTACTGGCTATTTATAGGGCTAAAATGCTGGGACAAAAAAGAAAACAAAAAAACCCATTGCAAAATGCTAACGTGTAATAAACAACAACGGGGGGGGGGGGGAATGTTTTGCTTGGGGCAGCAAAAAACCTAGAGCTGTCCCCTGAGGAGGGGAAGGGGCTGGGCTGAGCTAAGCTGTGGGATGGGAGGGGGAAGTATGGGGAAGGGGCTTGTGCTGAGGGGAGGAGGTCAGGAGAAGAAGAATAAGAAGAAAGGGCAAGGCACCAAGGGACAGCGGGGCATGAGGGGAATGGGGGCAGAGGGTAGTGAGGGGGTGGGTATCAGGGAAAAAGAGAGCAAAAGGGGCAGGGGCAGTGAGGGAAGGGGGAGGCACCAGGAGGGTGCAGGTGCCAAGGGATTCTGGGGGTGAAGCAGAAGGGCAGACACCTGCAGGGGAGGGAGGCAGGGCAGGTGTGTAGAGGGAGGTTTTAGGAGAGGGGATGAGGAGAGGTAGCTCACATGATCAGAGTGGGGCTACTGGAGAAGTGGGCACAGGGCGGAGAGAAGGGCTGGCGGAGGGGGGCAGGTCTCAGGAAGGCTGAGGGCAGTGAGAAGGGCAGGAGTCAGGACAGCAGAGGAGGGTGAGGGGTTGGGGGGCAGCAGGCACCAGGGGAGCTGATGGAGCAAGGGGAGGAGACATGGCAGCAGAGAGAAAAGGTAGAGGTTTATAAGATATTTATTAATAACCTGGGTGATATTTATTAATAACTTATTAGTAATTACTGTTCTTATTCTTATTAGGAATTTATGCCATTAAAAAACACTTTTTGTGGGGGAGGGTGGCAAGTCCCTTTTTTTGTCTGGCGAGTAGGGTTTTCCATAATTTGTCGACCCCTGTATATAAGAATTACAACATAATAATAATAATGCTCACTGGTTCTCCTGGCATTCCCGGGGGCCCTGGAGATCCAGTTTTTCCCTGTGGAGAGAGACCAAAGAGAAACATTTAACTAAAGTATCAGCCCTAAAATATCATTTTCTTTTAAATAAAATAGAAAATATTATGCTTATTTGGTCAAAATGTTATATCATTTATAGTTCACTAAATGCTTTCAGAGGGCTATCAGAAATATTTTGTAATAAATGCTTTAAAACACAGTTGTTTATTTTTATACCATATTCATCCAATTCCTTATCTAAAAACAAATACGGCTTAGTTTAACCAAGTGAAAACCATACTCCAAGCCCTCTTCTTTTCATCCCGGAGCATATATACAGATACAGGAGCAGTACAGCACCTCCATTCCTTTCTGTCTACGCAGTCATGCTCCACTGAGCACAGTCTATGCAGTCAGGTCCGAGCACACAACATTCCACTAGCCCTTAGATACCATTAGTATTGATTTTGTTGGAATTATTTTTCTTTGACATCCTTGCATCTCTTTTCTTTCTGCAGTGTCTCCACCCTCGTAACCATTGAGAAATCCACAGGGAATGAACAGTTATTATTAGGGCTCTTTGTCACAGAGATTGCGGATTCCAAGACTTTCTGTGACCCCTATGACTCTGCAGTGGCTAGTGTGCTCGGTGGTCCCAGGGACAGCCACACTGGCCACTGCTAGAGTGGCTCTGTAGCAAGCCACTTGGGTATCCCCACAATCAGCTGCAGCAGCTGCTGCTGGAGTGAACGATGGCCAGACACATCACCTGATCTCCAGAATTCTGGGGATTGCCTAAACACCAGATAGCACAGCTGGTCTCAGGGACCACCCAAGCAGTAGTCTCTGGGGTGGCTGGAACAGCTGCTGCTTCAGTGACCCCTGACAGCTGGTGTCCTGGTCCAGCTCCCAACCAGCAGTAGCCCCACTAAGATTTAGTCATGCTACCAATAGAATAAGTCAGGATAGGTCACGGGCCATGAATTTTTGTTTTTCGCCTGTGATCTGTCCATGACTTATACTATAAATACCCTTGATTGAATTGCAGCTGATTAGTCTAATTTGCTCCTGCACTATTAATTCATAATGTCCAACATTTGATGTTCCTACAGCAACATGCCTTGAAACTCTTATGCCATCTCTCATTGGAACAGTAGCTAATGAAAATTTAAAGTAGAAATACTGACTACCTTTTTACCACATCCATTTTATAAAGCAGTTACTGAACTGGTTGGCGGTGTCCCAAATTTAATAGTAATAAGTATACTTGCATAGAAACACT